GGGAAGGGAAGGGAAGGGAAGGGAAGGGAAGGGAAGGGAAGGGAAGGGAAGGGAAGGGAAGGGAAGGGAAGGGAAGGGAAGGGAAGGGAAGGGAAGGGAAGGGGGAAGGGGCATAAGAAAAAAAAGAAGGAATCCAAATAAGCTGTAAAACTTACCTCTTCTGTATTTGCAGGTCTAATTTTTTTTTATGGAAGAGCTGTATGATTTTATCTCCTCAGTATCTTCATTCCCCAGTAGGGATGTGTTAGGGCACAGACTTCAGAAGAAAAGTCGAATGTAGAGCTTCCAACACTTGCTCTGTATAATGCTGTCCAGTCCTGTCTAGCTATTCCCTGCCTAAGTGAGAACTGCTCTGCCTGGGTAATGGGTGCATAGAGCAGCGTGCTCACAGCCCCACAGCAGAAAGCAGCTCTGAGAAGAAAACCATTTAAGTTCCTCTCTTCAACCCTCTCCAAGGAAATCTCTCACCTGGAGGCTCCTGGGGCCAAAGGAGGGAGGAGTGAAAGGAGGACGTGAATTCTGTCCTGACTGAGAAGTTTGAGTAAATATACTTTAAAGATAAAGTCATCACTCAGGTTCATGGTTTTCCAAAGGGTCGGGGGGCAATAGATCCACTGCTTTGGCTTTCTGGCCAAATTTCTAGGCGTGAAATCTAGCACTTCTAGAGATGTCTGTTGGTAAGGAGAGGTGTGCTGTCCTCTCGGGGACGTGAGGAGCCCCCTGTCGAAGAAACATCTGTATTTTGGAGAAAGTTATTTGGGTTGACACATCTTTCTATCAAGTAGGACCTCATCTGCCGTAACATCTGCAGCCAGAGCTCTGTCTATGGAACAGAACACGGCAGGACAAATGGATGCAATAGGGAACAGGGCAACCAACCAACTCCAAGTCATCACTGCTCTGGAGTGCAGTTCTTAGAGCCAGGTACTGGGGAAATCAGCAGTCCATGGAAGTGGGCTGTTAACTCTTTAACCCCACATGAAGTTATGATTTGGAACGCTGATAAATCATAAAACCATGACATTCCACCCCTTATTCTACATCATACATCCCTCTTCATATAAATACAAATACACAAACGAGCAGTAATTAACAGGCATTACACACACACGTCTGTATGCACACACATACATGGAATTACTCACTGCGCTCCCCCAGCACCAGATCCCCTTGTGGCACACACCGAACATCCCCACTTATCTCCATCCCCCACCAAGTGCACCCGGCTCCCTGGGCACAAGCATTTCCACAGAGAGGCTTTCCCTTTCCAGAGGCTGGAAGGACCCAAACTGCTTTTCCCAACTTCTTACACGTCCCGCAGGGACCTCATCTCCCTCTACAGCATGCAGGGAGCTGGGCTGGGTAGGACCGTCGTCACTGATTGATCCTTGAGTGGTGACCAACCAAGTGGCTTCTGCCAAATACTTCTCCCAGTGCTCAAACGTTCATTGCTTTCAACATGGCTTTTAACACCCCGTTGTAGCGTTGGATTTTACCAGAGGCTGGTGCACGATGGGGGATGTGATAAACCCACTCGATGCCATCGCCTTTGGCCCAAATATCCACAAGAGAATTTTTGACACGAGTTCCATTACGTGACTCAGTTCTTTCTGGAGTGCCGTGTCGCCGCAGGATTTGTCTCTCCAGGCCCAGCATGGTGTTTCTGGCGGTAGCCTGGCGTACTGCACAGCCAGCAGTTGCCTCCACCATGGTGAGCACACAGCACCACTGCGAGATCGTGGCAAGGCGATGGAATCAACCTGCCACAACTCCCCACGTTTCTACTTTCGCCATCGCCCTTCCACCCACAGAGGTTTCATCCTCTTGCCTTGTTTGATTGTGTCACAGTCATGAATAGCCTGTGCAATAGCGCCCATAGTTCAGTCCACCCCTCGGTCTCCAGCTCACTTATATGGTGCATCTCTTCCTTGATGGCCCAAAGTCTCATGGGCCCACCGAGCTAGAAACAGTGCACTTTTGTTCTGCCAGCCCAGGTCTATTTGAGCCACCTCAATTCTGGCAGCTCCATCTACCTGATGCCTTTTTCGTTGTTGTTCAGTTGCCCTTGGCAAATGACTGGGGCTGCGTTTCCACCCCTGGGGCAAATGATTTCAGGCATACCGAATGCCCCTCCAAGGGAAAGCAAACTGTGACCTACGTTCTGCGGTCAAAGGAATGGAAAAGAAGGCATTGGCAATGTCAGTGGTGGCAAAACACTCGGCTGCTTTAGACACCGGTTCATATTAGGCATCTTTTTTATTTTCTTCTTAAACTAGCATTTTCAGAAGCAAAGCACGACTCCAAAGAAATGCAAAGAGTACAGAAACATGAAGGTCACTCTTTCCAAAGCTACTGTTGACTCCTGTGCCTGAGCAAAGCAAGGAGTGCGATTCCCTAAGCAGATGAACAGCAATTCCTTGAGTAGATGGTCAGAAATTTGACACATTCACCAGTAGTTACATCCCACCAGAAGATCCCATCGCTTCCCAATTACGAGAGCACAAAAACACTTCCTGGCAGTGATGCAACCACGGGTACTGCCAATGTTCTGACTGAAGCATCACAAACGTAAAAGCACAAGTCTGACTGCGAAAAATGCCACTACTAGTGCAGTACTCAGCACTGGCAGTATATCAGCAGCCCAGTTTCTCCTGGTGTCCTGCTGCTGGAAACCACCTCCGCAGTGCCCACCCTGGGGATGAGAAGCAAACCTGTTTGAGACCCCTCTGTTGATGCTGCATATCAGCGCACACGCGGTGCTGCTCCGTACCTCGGAATGAGATTGCTGCTTGCCCTCATCCGGCCACAGTCTCCTTCTCAGCCGAAGCGCTTCCTCTTCACAGCGGCGAGCCCGGTTCTCCATCTTCTGCAGTTTTTCTGCCGCCCTCTCCCTCTCAGCCTTCCACTCCTTCTCTGCCTTCTCATACCCATGAATCCGATCCTCCATCTGCTGCCATCTTTCCGCCTCCCTCTCCCTCTCAGCCTCCCTCTCCTGCTCAGCCTTCTCGTTCTGGGCTTGCAGATCTGGTGGCAGAAGCAGTTTACTGCACACGAGGAGCGGACCCCCAGCACCCTGGCAGTGCCGTTGCTGCCCCAGCCCCCCGCTGCTCCAGAGCTGGGAGCATTTCTCCAACCCAGACGTTACCTTTGATCTGCTCATCCTTCTCCATCAGGGCACGGTCTGTGCCGCAGATGCTCCTGGCCAAAGGCTCCTTGTCCCGAAGGAATTCCTGCAGGACAGCATCTGCCTGCGGGGCAGCGGGAGTGTGGCAGTCATGGGGTGAAGCGGCGGTGCTGGGCAGGGGCTGCTCCTCTTCCCACCTTCACCCCTTTGCCCGGCAGCGCCCGGTACCGCTCCACCAGCGCCTGTTGGTCCCCAAGGAACAGCTGGTGACCCCCCGGCACGAAGTAGACACCGCCATCGATGCGCTGCTCCATCTCTCTGTAGAGCTCCTGCAGTGCAGCCGCGCACTTCTCACGGGACGCCTCCTCGTTGCGGCTGCAGAACTCCAGCTTGGCTGCCTCCACCTGCCGCTGTGTGGGGGGACGCGAGGTGCGGGAATCAGTCGGGGACACAGGGGGCAGGAAGGAGCAGCACGATGCAGCTCCCATGGGGGATGCAGAGCCGAGCACGGTGCCGCGGAGCGGTGCTGGCCGAACCGGGGAGCGCCCACCAGAAGCTCCTCTCGGAAGCGCTCGACGTCGTCCGTGATCGTCCGTTCTGCAAAGAGCTGCAGCGTCTCCTTCTGGCACTGCTCGTGCAGCTCCAGCAGCTCCTCCGCCGTCTCCGTGGGCAGCTCTGCCCGCTGCTCCAGCAGCTCCCGGTACAGAACCGCAGCTTCCCGCACTGCCGCCGAGTTGCGCAGCTCTGCCAGGGCCGCCACCGCGCTCTCCAGGCACGGCACGGCCCCGCTCTGGATGGCATCCACGTAGGTCTGCGCCAGAGTGCCCAGCACTGCCATGGGCAGGACGGGATCAGAGGTCTCTCTTTTTTGGCCCTGGGAGCGGCCGTAGCCCTGCTGCCCCTCCCGACATCCCCCCGTGCTTCTCCTGCTCCTTCTCACCCGACCCAACACCCAGGAGCACCAAACACGGAGGCAGAAAAGCTACTCCGAGCCCCGCTGCCCCCAGAGCGTCACTCACTCTCCCCCGTTACTTTGCAGCCGCTGGGGATGGTCTTTGGTGGAGAGCTCTCCCAGATGTAGCTGCAGAACTTCTCCAGCTGCTGCAAGAACTCGGGGTCCATCCTATCGTCAGGGAGCTCCTCCAGGTGTTGCAGATCCCTCTTGCTGGCGGGCTGGTCGAAAAGGAAGCACTTTCTCTCGGGGAAGAACTGTCGGATGCATTCCCGCAGGCGGTCGTAGCGTTCGGCCTCCGGGCTGCCGCCTGCAGGACAGAACAACCACAGCTCAGCTCTCTGCTGCCTGCCAGCACCCGGCGCCAGCCGTGCCCGACAGCTCAGCATCCCTACCGCCCCTCAGCTTCAGCGCATTCTCCAAGTATTCATCCTCGGAGATCTCCTGCCCATTCGCCTCCAACCACAGCATGAAATCCCGCACTGCCCACACAAAGGTTGGGAGGAATGGGGCCAACCCAGCAGCAGCAGGTGCCTGGGCTCCGCTCTCCTCGGGGCTCTTAGTCAGCTTCACGCACTCTGCCAGCGTCAGCACGTAGCTGTGGGGCTGGGTAAGGAAAATGAGAGCTCGGCTCTGCCTGCAACGCCGCACCCCGAGCAGCTCCTGTGCACCACGGGGGTGTGGATGCCCCACAAAAGGCGGCTCTCGGAGGAGCTCTGTCGTGCAAAACCCACCGCCCCACGGGAACAAAGCAGGGAACCCCCACGGCCACCAAGGATACTGCAGGTTCTCCAGGGCCTGCTGGTCGATGGTGCCCTTGCTGTTGTAGATCAGGGTGCTGGAGAGCAGCACGGCCAGCACGAATATCCACGTGTCGTTCTTGGTGTCTCCCTGCAATGCACACCGCGCTGTGTCCCCCTCCAGCACAGCAACGCAGGGGGGGAGCAAAGCCCCGCGCTCTGAGCACCGACGGCCACGAGCTCGGATGCGAGGACACCCAAGCACCCGACCCCTCCGCACTGCAGTGCTGGAGGCGGAGCAGGAAGCTCTGCCCACAGCTCTACGTGCAGTGGGGCTGCGTGGAGGGAAGGTGCTGCTTCTCCCCAACCTTCTCCACGTCTCCCAGCCCTTCGGTGTCCAGCAGCAGCAGCGTGTGTCCGGGCTGGAGGGGGTGAGGCACGCACCACATCCAGATTCCTTTGGTGTGAGCCTGCACGCTGGAGCCCAGGGAGAAACCTGCGTGGGGGACGAAGCGCAGAGGAGGAGAATCCCCAAAGCAGGGGCGCACGTCGTCAGCGATGCCCATCCCAGCCCTTCCCTCACCCGTCCTCCTCCCGGCCAGCCGGTTCATCAGGTAGGATTTGCCGCTGCGGTACAGCCCGGCGATGGCCACCACCACCACGGGCTGCGTGATGTTGGCCAACACCTGCAGGGCGTCCTGCCGCACCACCAGCCCCTGCCCTGTGTGGTTCTCGACGAGGCACATGGGCTCCTCCATCTCCACCACCGACGCTGCGGATGTCAGGGCTGCCATCACAGCCTGCAATGGGAACGGCGAGACTTTGTGACGGGGCGCCGGCAGCCGTGCTCCGATTCACCCCGCTCTGTGTCTCCAAGCAAAGCATTCTTTGCTCCTTTGCACAGCTCCCTTCCTTCTCGATTTGCTCCTTCCTGGGCAGCACATTGCAAAGACAACCATGACCTTTCCCCCCTTCCCACCTGCAGCCCCACAGCTCTGCAGCAGCGGGCTGTGTGGCTGCCTCACACCTCAACCTCTCCGCCCCCCCGTCCAAAGAGCAGTAGGTGAGTCAGAGTGAAAGTGAAAGGCAAAGAGGGGAGAGGACTTTGCCTGGAGCCCAGCCTGGGCAAAGTCCTCTGGTCGGCTCCTGCCCGACCCCAGTATCTGCTGGGACGGTTTGGTGGGAACTCGGGCTGGGGAGAGGATGGGGCAATTCAGGGAGGGGAGGAAAGGATGCTGCAGCCTCGAGCACAGAGCTGCACTTCTGCCTTGCCGAGCATCACCCAGTGATGCCTGCTGAACAATCAGCAATGCATAGCGGAGCTCCGCGCACCCACCTCACCGCGCACCAGCCATCTGCAAATGCACCGAACCCGGCTCAGCCCTCCGTACCCCCGTGCCTTCTCAGCCTGCGGCAGCACCGCAGGGCAAAAGGGCGGCTCTGCTGCTGTGCAAAGAGGGGCACCCTAACCCTCCCAGCCCCCGTTGGGTCCCCACAGCCCCAGCGTCACCCCACTGCACCCCCTCCATTCCCCTCCATGTCCCCAAGGGTTTCCTCGGGGGTGGTTTTTCTTCCCTATCCCATCGAACACGGCTGTGCCACCCCCCACCACCCGGGCAAGGCTCCCTTCTCCCCTCCCTCTGCAGCCCCCTCCTCACACCCAGCCCCGGCCACTCACTGAGCAGGACTCTGCAGCACTGGGAGGTGAGGCTGCTTCTCCTCCGACTCCAGGAAATGGAGGTGAGTCAGAGGGAAAGTGAAAGCACTGGAGAGAGGATATGATGATGTCAGAGTCACAAAACGGCCCGGGTTGGGAGGTACCTCAAGGATGACGAAGCTCCAACCCCCAGCCACACGCAGGGCCACCGACCTCCACGTTTCACAGCAGCCCAGGCTGCCCAGGGCCCCTTCAACGGCCCCGAACGCCTCCAGGGACGGACGGGGCATCGCAGCCCCTCTGTTCAGCCCCTCCCCGCTCTCACAGCGCAGCACTTCCAGCCTCCAGCTGCCCTCCCTCAGCTCCCAGCCGTTCCCCGTCCTGCTGCCGTCTCCCCTTGCCAAGAGCTGACTCCCCTCCTGGCTGCAGGCTCCCTTCGGGCGCTGCAGGCTGCAATGCGCTCGCCCCCAGCTCCTCTTCTCCGTGCTGACCGAGCCCATGCTCGTGGGGGGAGCTGGGACTCTTCACCTGGGACTCTTCGCCACCTGGCACTCTTTCTCCTTTCTTCTCCCTCCTCCTCCTGCACTTTCTCCTGCTCCTCTCTTTCTCCTCTTTCCTCCTCTCCCTCCTTCTTTCTCCCCTTCCTCAACTTCTTCCCTCTTCCTCTCCCTCTGCCTCCTTCTATTCCTCCTCCTTCCTCCTCCTCCTCTTCCTCCCCCTCCAGCCCAGCTCCCTCAGCCTGTCCTCACAGGGAGCTGCTGCAGCCCCTGATCGTCTTCGTGGCTCCTCCGGCCCCTCTCCAACAGCTCCCTGCCCTTCTTGTCCTGGGGGCTCCAGCCCTGGGCACCACACTGCAGATGGAGCCTCACAAGAGCAGAGCAGAGGGGGACCTTCACCTCGCTGTCCCTGCTGCCACCCCTGTGCTGATGGAGCCCAGGATCCCATTTGCTTTCCAAGGAGCACGCTGCTGGCTCACGTTCAGTTTTCCATCTATCAAGACCCCTAAGTCCTTCTCCGCAGGGCTGCTCTCAATGCTGCTCCTTCCAGTCTGTATGGATGCCTGGGATTCCTCCGGCCCAAGTGCAAAACCTTGAACTCTGCCGTGCTGAACTCCATCAGGTTCACCCAGCCCCACCTTTCCAGCCTGTCGAGATCCCTCTGCATGGCATCCCTTCCTTCCACCGCTCAGCTTGGTGTCGTCAGCAAATTGCTGAGGCTGCACTCCGTTCCGTCATCGCTGTCATTGATAAAGATGTCAAAGAGCACCGGTCCCAAGGCAGAGCCCTGGGGGACACCGCTCAGTGCCGGCCTCCACCTGGATGTAGAACCATTCATTACCATCCTCTGCAGCCTTTCAACCAGTTCCTTATCCATTGCATGCTCCACCTGTCAAATCCACGTCCCTTTGATCTGGAGATAAGGACGTGGTGGGGGACCGAGTCCAAGGCCTCGCTCAAGCCCAGCTGAATGACATCGGTCGCCTTTCCCTCATCCACTGATGCCACCCCTCCATCACAGCAGGCCACCATGTTGGTCAGACATGACCTGGTGAAGCCATGCTGGCTGTCTCGGATCACAGATCCATTCCTCCTGTGATCAAGCATGTTGCCCAGGAGGATCCGTCCCGTGATCTTCCCAGGCCTCATGACTTCCTCCTCATGCATAACCTAAATCTCCCCCAACTCACTTTAAAACCATTCCCCCTTGTCCCATCTCCATCCACTCTTATAAACAGCCGTCCCCCTCCTGTTTATTCGCTCCCTTCAAGCCCTGGAAGGACTCAATGAGGTCCCCCTGGATCCTTCTCTTCTCCAAGCTAAACAAGCCCAGTTCCCTCAGCCTTTGCTCATAGGAGAGCTGCTCCAGCCCTCTGATCATTTTAGTGGCTCCTCTGGGCCCTTTCCATGTGCTGGGGGGTCCCAAGCCTGGATGCAGCACTGCGGATGGGGTCTCACAAGGCTCCTGATTTGGTGCCTGGGAGCTTTGTTCTGACCCCACCTGCTGTGGCTCCTGCTCAGGGGGGCTGCGACGAGGCTCAGGGGGTCTGAGCACAACAGGGGAGTGTGAGGTTGTGTGGAGCAGGGAGGGCAAAACTGTGTGGGAAAGAGCAGGGGGTCAGGAGGGCAATGGGAGCGTTAAGGAAAGTGGGGCAGGGCTGAAGGGCAGCTGGGGGATGGGAGGCTGTGCAGAGAGAGGCTGTGAAATCAGCAGCAGGGCTGGGTATTTCTCAACCCTGAACAGCAGCCGTGCATTGCTGCAAGGATTGGGACTGGAGCAGCACCAGGATGCAGGTGGGAAGGGAAGCATCAGTGCTGTAACACCGGGAAAGACCAGGGTGGTGGGATGGCGACACAGGGGGTGTCAAAGGGACTAGCAGAAGGGAAGGGGGCTGCAAAGCGAAATGAAAGCGCTCAGCCATCTCTGAGCATCTCTGAGCCCACGGGAACAATTCTCCAAGCAGAGATCCTTCCCCTGGGGCTCTCAGCCCTTCCATGCAGTCCTGGCACACAGCTGAACTGCCTTCACCGTGCTCCCAGGGCTGAGCCCTTTCCCAGCGGTTCAGGCTGTGACTCCACAGCTCCCTTACATCAGCGTCGCCCCGTTCTACAGAAAGGGCAAGAAGGGTTTGGGAAACTGCAGGGCAGTCGGCCTCATCTCTGTCCCTGGGAAGGCGAGCAGCTTGTTGTGGATGCCATCCACAAGCAATTGAATCATAGAATCACAGAATCACCAAGGTTGGAAAAGACCTCAAAGATCATCCAGCCCAACCGTTCACCTCTTACCAACAGCTCCCACTAAACCACGTCCCTCAACACAACATCCAGCCTTTCCTTCAACACCCCCAGGCTCGGTGACTCCACCACCTCCCTGTGCATCCATTCCAGTGCCTGACCATCCTTTCCAAAAAGTAATACTTCCTCATGTCCAGCCTGAATCTCCCCTGCCGTAGCTTGAAACCATTTCCTCTGCTCCTATCACTGATGACACGAGAGCAAAGGCCGACCCCCAGCTCACTGCAGCCTCCCTTCAGGAAGTTATAGAGAGCAATAAGGTCTTCCCTGAACTCCTCTTCTCCAGGCTGAACATTCCCAGCTCCTTCAGCCTCTCCTCATATGGCCTGTGCTCCAGACCCCTCACCAGCTTTGTTGCCCTCCTTTGAACACGTTCCAGGGCCTCCATGTCTTTCTTGCAGTGAGGGGCCCAAAACTGGACACAGCACTCGAGCTGCAGCCTTACTAGAGCTGAGTACAGGGGCACAATCACCTCTCTGCTCCTGCTGGCAGCGCTGTTTCTGATGCAGGCCAGGCTGCCCTTGGCCTTCCTGGCCACCTGGGCACACTGTCGGCTCATGTTCAGCCGAGCATCCATCAATACCCCCAGGTCCATTTCCTCTACGCAGTCCTCCAGCCACACCGCCCCAAGCCTGTAGCGTCGCCTGGGGTTGTTGTGGCCGAAGTGCAGGACCCGGCATTTGGCCTTGTTGAAACCCATTCCATGGGCTTCAGCCCAGCTCCCAGCCTGTCCAGATCCCTCTGTGTGGCCTCGCCACCCGCAGGCAGATCCACACTTCCAGCCAATTTGGTGCCATCTGCGAATGTACCGAGGCTGCACTCGATGCCCTCCTCCAGGCCATCAGTCAAGATCTTGAGGAGGACAGGCCCAGCACCGAGCCCTGAGGCACGCTGCTCACGACCAGTTGCCAGCTGGATTTGACTCCATTCACCGCCACTCTCTGTGCCCGGCCCTCCAGCCAGCTCCTCACCCAGCACAGACTGCAGCCATCCAGGCCTCGGGCTGCCAGCTTCTGCAGGAGGAGAACTGGAGGAGAAGAAGGTGATGAGGAGCAGTCAGCACGGGTTCACCGGGGGAGAACGGCGCCCCACCAACCGCACAGCCTTCTAGGATGGGTGGAGGGGGGAGAGCAGGGGTGTCATCCAATGCCGTCCACCTGGACTTCAGCACAGCTTTGGGGACTGTCCCCCACAACCTGCAGATCGCAGAGCGTGGGGCAGACGAGCGGATGGGCTGAGAGACGGTGAGGACAGTGCCGACTTGGAGCCCTGGGACCAGCAGCGATGGCCAGGGGTTGGTGCTGGGTCCAGTCCTGTTCAGCATCGTCACCAACGACCTCGATGAAGGATGGGTGTCTGCTCAGTGAGTGCAGCAATGATACGGAGCTGGGAGGAAAGGCTGAGCAGCGGGTCGCTCAGCCTCGACAAAGAAGAAGGCTGAGAGGGGATCGGATCCATGCCTGCAATGGTCTCTAGAGGCCCCTTCCAGCCCCTACAGTTGTTTGTCCTTTGTCCTCATGCTGGGATGTCCCTGTTGTTTCGTGTCCCTAAAAATGGCCTCTTGATCCACTGGATGACCTTCAATATCAAGTGTCCCTTGCTGGGGTCCCTTGTCCGTCCTGGAGGCTCTCAGACTCCCTTGCGGATGTTAAACCTCAAGGTTGTCCCTCAGCGCCATCCCAGGACCTCGTGCTGGGACGACCTCCTTCTTTCACATCCCCCATTGTGTGACCTTCAACGTTGGGTGCCCATCAATGGTGTCCACTGTCACCCCTGGTGGCCCTCAGACCTCCGTGGGGACACTGGGACCCATGGATGTCACCCAACGCCATCCCCTGTCCTCGTGATGGGATCCTCGCGTTGTTTTGTGGCCCCACAGATGATCTCTTGCCCCACTGGATGACCCTTCAACATCCCTCAGCACTGTCCCTTGTCTCCCTGGGGACAATCCTGGGGACACCAGAGCTGATCCTTGTTGACACTGGGGTGTCCTTTGTCCCTTGGTGACACCAGGGTGGGTCCTTAGGGACATGAAGGTGTCTTTTGCCCCCTTGAGGATACCAGGGCTGATCCTTGGGGACACAGGGGTTGGTCCTTGGGGACACGGAGGTGTCACTTGTCCTCACAGGGAGACACCAGAGCTGATCCTTGGGGACATCAGGGTGCCCTCGTCCCCTTGGAGACACCAGGGTTGGTCCTCGGGGACATGGAGGTGTCCCTTGTCCCCTTTGGGGCACCACAGCTGATCTCTGGGGACACCAGAGCGGATCCTTGGGGGCATGGGGCTGCCCCTCATCCCCTCAGGGGCAGTGGGGC